TGGGACAAGGTGAACGCCTATTACAGATCTCCAGGTATCTGAGGTCACACAGTTATTAACACTGAGGTTTGCTCATTCATTTATTAAATGCTTACTTGGAGTCTCCCGTATGACGGGATCTGTGCTAGGAGCTGAGAAATAACAAAAATAACAAAAATAACCTGAAGTTGGAGAAAATACTCTTATGCATTTCAGAGTAGAGGTGGGTAGGGAAGTGGGGGAGGCTTTTCAGACTGGACTACTCCATGAAAGAATTAATCTCCAGAAATTTAAAATGTTTTAGCAGATATTTTGCATCTTCAGGAATGACAAAATATGTAAACCATGAATGGGAGTTACTTTTCATTTTGTACACAATAGCTGGTGTACTAAAGATGGGGATCCTACTAAGACCAGACGGGAGTTCATGAATCTTCCATGAACTGTGGTTTAGTAAGTAAAAAGACAGGTCCCTCAGCAATAGCCAACAAAAATAAATGAGTTTACAAGCTGCTCTGCAAGAACTGGCTATTTTAGTAATGCAGCCAGTGAGAGAAAGAGACCCAAAATACTCTCTCTTTAACTGATGATGCAGAGGGTCACAACAGTCAAAGCATTTTCCCAGATTCTCAATGCCAGTGTGGAAATGCATTTCATGTAAGACTTTCAAAACAACCAAAGACACCAAAGAAGCCATGTCCACCCTCGCCTCGCAGGTCTAAACGTTTATCGCTGGCTGCTGCCTAAAACAACATCCTCTCCCATCCTGACCGCATCCCTTTCAGACATGGCCAATAATCAGGGTAGTGAGAACTAGGAGAAACTAGAAGTATATAGTGTAGAGAGAACATTAAACTGACGTTCTAACCATTTACCTTAGATACAAAAGTAACTACAGGCGCTGAAAAAGACCATGGTTAGTCAAAACCATGTAAAAATACACTCAGATGTTTAAATGCCTCAGCTCGTTAACTTTGTTACCACGTGACTCTGGATTCAGTTAAAAATCCCTTCCTGACTTCCTGCTCCAGCTCTCTTGGCTCAACCTTAAGTTAGTTCATAACACTTTCTAGCTGATAAAGACTTCAACTCCTTTTTATAACCTGCAGATGTCTATGGCATCTATACTTGACAGAAGCCACTCAGCATTTCTGTTTCTCTGCCTGTAGATAAGTACTAAAATCTATTATTCTGGCTCCTTCTGCACCCTCAATGACACATGCAGAAGCCTCCCCTTGAAAGTATACAAGCATCTTTATACCAATCTTAATGCATATTCATTATTATACAATATAAATGTAATTCAGATATGCTATTACATTAATGCCCTAAATAAGCAGATTCACAAGACTGCTGGCTCCAGAGTTTTTCTCACTACTATAATTTCTAATAGCTATAACAATATCTATGGGTCCAATGAATATTAGCTAATATTATAGAACCATTTATAAGACACATCAGAGGCAGGTATGTCTATTTTTCCTCCATAAAAAAAACTACAAATGAAACAAATAAAGAGAACTGATCAAGATTGTACAGTAGACTTCTTGACTCCAAATTCAACATCATTTAACATCATTTTTATTTTCCCTGTCTTATACATGCACCCTCTGTGTTGTAAATACAGACTGCCATGGAAAAAAAAGAAGTCATAATATAAGCCTAAATATCTTCTGGAGCAATATATATGTTGTTAGTTTAACAAAGCACACAAATACACCACATACCACACCACACTCAATCACAGAACATATTTTCAGAACTAAGATGAATTTCAAAGACAAAACATGGATTTAGAAGGATCTCTGACATTTGCAAACAGCCATCTGGAGCCCCTTGGGGGTCTAATTGTTCATATTTCTGCTTCTACAGTCTCCAGGTGCATAACTGATAAGGTCACAGAACACCTCAGCATAAGGCAAAAACCAAGTTCCTACAGCTCAACACCCCAGGGCACAGAATCAGAATGGGCTTCCCCTCTAGCTAATACAATACTTAATTTCAATTGTCAGCATGATTGGATTAAGAAACTTGACCCCCCAAGTTATTACTGAGATACACTAGAATGTATATGTTAGCTTTTTTACAGAAGGAATCAGCTACAGGCAAAAGACTCTGAATGTGGGTGGCATCACACTAGGGTCTTAGGACTTTCGCAAGATGAAGTAGAAAATGGGCAGCTCCCTCAGACCCAGTTGTGCGTGTGGACTTCCGGCATGGAGCAGGAGTTAATATTCTGTTCTCTCCCTGGTTCTGAATAAATCTGTGGAATCTGATCCCACAAACAGTTGATAAGCCCACAACCATTTAAAATACCTTACAGTCAGAAAGTCAATAACTAGGGTTGGCCATCCCATTAGCTCTCTCAGGGAAGTACTATCCAGGCTTTGCCTTTGGGTTCTCCAGAAGGATTTTGGGGGCAAAACCTAGGAAGTCTCATCAACTGTATTTACTACTCAAAGATCAGTTTCTTCACCGGAGAGCTGGCAAGATGGCTCAGTGGGCAAAGGCGCTTGCTGCCAAGCCTGATGACTTGAATTCCATCCCCACATGGCAGAAAGAGGGAAGTGACTCCCACGAGTTGTCCTCTAACGTTCACTTACGCATTGTGGCATGTTAATGTAAGCAATCCATGATTTGGCTCTTTTAAAGTCTACCCAGATTAAACTGTTAAAATAACTTGTCCCCCATCCCATCAGATTAGCAAAAATTTAAGAAGCAAACAAAGAGCCCTACTATATAGTAAGGATGTGGGCCCAGTGGTGTTCCCACAATGCCTATGTTTGTATCAGTCTAACCTTTGGTCTCTAGAGCAATGACAAGTGTGTCACAAGTTTAAAAAGATTCGCATGTGCTTTCAGCAAGGCAGGAATACATTCTCATCCTCAAAACAAGCCTATGTATAAGAACGCTCACTATCTCGCAACTTACAGATGAAGATGGAGGAGGAGGAGAGGGAGGGGGAGGAAGAGGAGGAAAAGGAGGAGGAGAAGGAAGAGGAAGAGGAGGAGGAGGAGGAGAAGTGGCAACTTTATGTCCACCAATGAGGGAGTAGATATAAATACAATTTAATGTCCATCGATAGAGGGCCAGATAGATACATGTTATAGGCATCCCCACAGAATATCATGCAGCTATTAGAATCTATGTTAACAAAGAAGAGATGGGACTGGTTAATGAAGGAGTCGGGTATATAGTAATATTAGCTACAAGTATGGCTTGGATTCTCAGGTGGCTAATCACAGCAGGAGTTTACGGTAAAGAACTAAAATTACACATGGTGATCCAAATCCATCCCAAGGCTTGAAAGGACACCGTGCTAAGACTTGTAGTCCACATCCTAAAAGTGTGGGGTGAGCTCAGTACTGATTGAGACCCTTTTAATGAATGACAGGGATACGAAAGTGGGTAATAAGACTGAGAGTTATGTCTGAGGCTGATGCACTTTGAGTTAGTAGGAAGTCTGAGCAATTTGCACACCACGTGCACCAATGCTCCATTGCCTAGCTGAGTTTTGGCAGAGTTTGCAGAGATGAGGGAAGGTCTGGAAATGGAAAGGTAAAGACTCACAACCTGCCAAAACATACAATTTTGCACAGTGAAGGAGGAAATGAAACCACACACACACACACACACACACACACACACACACACACCTGCAGATACATATTAAAGCACAACACATTTTGCCACCCCCACGCTAAGCAGACATGCCTCACTCAATATGCCATCTGTCCTCCCCTGGATTCAACAGTTATTACCATCGCATACTTCATTCTTAGTTTTAAAACTCCTAGTTTATTCCCAGTACCTACCACAACCACCACCACCAAGCACGCCAGCTTTCAAGCTGTTTTCCAGCTTTCAAAACTCTTTCATTTATTAATTCTCTTGTCAGTGTTTCAGTGTCTAGTCCAGGCCCATAGACAAGCAATAGAAGAAGACCTCCTTGGTGGCATTTATACAACTCATGTGAAACACACTTTACTCTGGAAAGCAAGGCATACGGCAAGTGCCTGTGACTTGAAGAAATGGCATCCTTCTGCTCAGACCTGTTTTGATCTGGCTTGTGTGTGGCCACCTCTGTCTATGTGCCTGCCCCGGCCCCGCTGCCCTACAGCAGAGCAGACTTCTTCTGAAGTCCCATGAAGCTAAGCCCGGTGAAGTCACAGTGAAAAAAAAAAAAAGAAAGAAAACAGACACAATTTAAACTGTCCCCTCCAATGTCACAACTCTCCAAACTAAAGGTGTCTACTTGACTGACAGTGGCACATCTACATATTTGTTTGCATATGTCACAGTGCAGAATAATCAGAGTGTGGGGTGGGGGACGGTGTTCTTGGCTGTTTTCTTGTGGTCAGTTTCAGGAAATACAGGCATTTCTTGGTTCAGAGCTCAGATTGCAAATCAATATGTTTTAGTGGCTTAAAATATTTTTCCTAAGCTGGAAGCGCGCTAAGCTAATAATTAACCATAAGCATACCGTCACTTCTGCTAAAGACATTTTCTGCACACAACCCTAAATCCCTCGTTGTTGTGTTAAACAGAATAGACGGGCTGTAATAAAAGATCTCCTAAGAAACATGATCGTTTTCATTGGGTCACCCGGGAGCTTTTCCTCTGAAATCTGCAGCTTCTTGGCAGACATAGGGAGGGCCGGTTGGAGAGAGCACCCCAAACAAGATACCACCCAGGGCCCAATTATTTTCGTCAGAAAGTTGCCTAAGACAACTTCAGGGTTCTCAGATTGAGTAATTCTTGCGTCCAAGGTTACTATCTGCAGGTTTCCACGATGTTGATTTTCTTTTTTTTTTTTTTTAAGGTGCCCTTATTAACTGCACTGCAAGGGTTCTGATTTGCACCTCTCTGGCGACGGCTGCTGCTGCTGGGGGGAGTGGAGTGCCGCGCCAGGGCTGCGGCAGCCTCGCAGGCCAACGAGACGGCCAGGGGCGAGCACTGCCCCCCGGCCCCGCTCCCGGGTCCCACCCTTCCTGGCACCCGCGCGCCCCGCCGGTACTCACCGCTGTCCAGCCGCGCGATCTGGGGCAGCCGGTAAGTGCTGACCAGCAGGTCGAGCGGCACAGGCACCGGGCTCCACTTCACATCTTTGAGGCTGCAGCCCAACGAGGGCACCGGGTCCATCTTCCCCACCTCCTCCGGCCCCGCGCTCCCGCGCCCGCTCCACCGCTGGCTGGCGGGCGGCTTCGCTCTCCCGCCGCGGGCAGCCGGGCAGCGAGGCACAGCGGCGGGGACGCGGGCGCCCGCCTTCAGCGGCCACACCGAGGCATGGCTGGCGCCCTCAAGCCAGGGGAGCACTGCAGGCGGCCCGGCTGGCGGCGGCGGCTCCCTCTCCTCCTCCGCCTCCCCTGGCCCCGGCTCTGCAGCTGCGGCGGCCGGCCGCCCGCCTCCTCCTCCCCGGCCCCCTCCTAGCCTCCGCCTCGAGCACAGTGTGAGGAGGAGCCGCGGGTCCGAGGAACGCCATAGCAGCGCTCCCGGCACTGACTAATCGACAAGGTGCAAGGGACGCCTGCGCAGCCCGCCCTGGCACCGCCCCCGGGCCCGCCTCCCACCGGGGACTCCGCCTCCCTGGGGCGCAGGCTCCGCCTCCCCGACTCGGGCCTCGCCTCTTTGCCTCGGATCCCGCCTCCACGCCACTAAGCTCCACCTCCCTGGAGCGCAGGCTTCACCTCGCTGGATCGCAGGCTCCACCACTAGCCCCGCCTACCTCCGAGTAGGCTCAGCCTTCCGCAGTTCCCGCCCATATATAACCCCGCCTTCCTCTAGCCCCGCCTTCCTGAACATAGCCACGCCTCCCAACCGCAGCTCCCGTAGGCCCCGCCTCCCTGTCCCCGCCTCCTTCAGGCCCCGCCTTCCGCACATTTCTCTAGCTGGGAGCTCGGCCTCCCTCCGAGGCGGCGCCCGGGACTGCGGTACCCGCTCGGCTGCGCTTCGCAAGCTTTGGCTCTCGCTCCCCCGTCCGACAGCTCGCGCGCCCTGCAGCCTCGCCCGGCGCGTCCTTCTCGGTGCCCGCGGAGCAGCCGGCGCTCTTCATGGAAGGCAGTGGCGAACTCTGATGGTGTCTCTGGCAGCTGCAGGTTTTCCTGGCTTTAGGGACGCGGGCGAGAAAGAGCCTGTGGGGTTAGCCTTCGGTGGTGCTTCCTACCCAACTGCACGACTCCACAGACGGAGCTGGAAGTTTCTGTGATCAGTTCGAGTGTGGCTGCAAGACAGGGCGCAAAAGCTGTGGAGTGTCACCGTCCAGGAGGTCTTCCTCCTCCAACGCGCAGAGGGACAGGGTTCTCTTTCTGAGAGATAAAGCCCCTTTCCTAAACATGCTACCAGAACTTTTGGGGATGTCACAAAATGGCACAGCTCTTGGGAGGCGGTACTAGCGTCCAACCCACAGGTTGCTGTCCTTAATATTGTTGCCCACAGTCTTGAAATAGGGTTTGCTTGTTGTGGCCGGAGCTCAGATAACAAAAGGGATTGCAAATAAGAGTTTCTAGGCAAAGCCCGGATTGGTGACGTATGACCCAAAGACAAGACAAAAAAAAGACTAAGGTAATCAGATTTGTTTTTAAATCAATAAAGGTCTTGCATTCAATTAGCTGTTATTGCTAACCTGGTCGAAAAGATTTTTATTTCAATCCTAAGTATTTAAGGGAAGAAGTTTTAACGAGTCCTGGTGAGTTTTACCTGTGGAAGGAGTCCTTAAGAACGGTGTTGAGGATGAGTTGGTGCTCTGGTAAGATTGTAAGAGAATTCCCACTGAACTGCCAGTCTCCCACACGTGTTTGGAGGGTTAATAAACTGATACGGTGTACGTAAAAGCACAAACGCAGGTGCCGGCATGCTTTGTTTGGATCTTAAGTGTTTTCCTGAGGTCCATGGATGAGATGATGATTGGGGCTGCTCAGAGGCCGTGGGTGCAGCCTGTAAAACATGGAGACTGAAGAGAGATCTGTAGGTTACCGGGTGGGGTGCTCCTGAGGAGGAGAAACTGTGGGGTCCTGACTTCTTCCTTTTGCTTCCTAGATGTGATGAGGTGAGCTTGTCCATGGTGTCACACACCTTTAATCCTAGCACTCTGGAGGCAGAGGCAGGCAGATCTCTGTGAGTTCAAGGACAGTCTGATCTACAGAATGAGTTCCAGGAGAGCCAAGACTACACAGAGAAATCCTGCCTCAAAAATGAACAAACAAACAAACAAACAAAAATACCTAGATGTGATGAGGTGAAAACTCCAATCCATCTCATAGAGTCCCCAAAGCAAAGAGCCCAACCCATTATAGACCCGACCAGAAACTTTAAAACCGTGAGCCAACTGTAAGCTGATTCACCCGAAGTACTTGTTATAATAAAGGAGAGCCTACTAGTACAGCTGGTAAAACGTACAGCAGATTCTTTATGAACATGCTTTCTTTGTTTATTTAATGAACAGGAAGAGAGAAAACGGGCCGCATGTGTGCAGGTACCCACAGAGGCCAGACACATAAGTAGCTGTGAGCTGCCTGATATGGATGCTCGGGACCAAACCCAGGTCCTCTAGAAACATAGCAAATATTCTCAACTCCTGAGCCAACTCTCCAGTCTCATAGCGTATTCAGATGATTAAGAACATCAACTCCAAGGCAGTGAGATGGATGATTCAATGGATAAAGGCATTTCCTGCCAGACCTGATAATCTGAGTTCGTTCTCCAGGGTTCCCATGGTGGAGGGAGAGGACTGACTCCCATCGGTTGTCTTCTGACCACCACATACACACATGCACAAATTTAAATATTGTATGTATGTATACATATGAAACCGTTGAGTTTAGTCAGCTGTGCTGCTTCTGTTGAGGGTATATACTATTTTGTGTATCTGATGTATGTCGTTTTTATTTCATACATACATAAATAGCATAGTGGGTATATACTAGCATAGGGTATATACTATTTTGTGTATCTTATGTATGCCATTTATATTTCATACATACATAAATAGCATAGTGGACATGGTTTTGTTGTATTGTAGGTGCCAAGGCTGGAATCCAGAGCTTTGCATGTGCTAAGCATGTGTGCTACTATTGAGTTCTGAGAAGGTACTTTTACATGCTTTCTGTGTGCCCATGGTTGTCCTTTGAGGTGATCCATGGACATTTTTATTTATCCTGTCTGTAGCACAAATAATACAGACCTAGAGACAGATATTGGGATTCAGGCTGAAGATCGGAGAAGCAAAGCAGCCAGCCAGTAGCCCTTACCTTTACCAAGGCTGAGTTGGAGATCCTGTTTTCACTGTGACTGGAAACTGAATCTCACATGAGACCCTTTGCTTCTTCCTTATATACCTCTGTAGTGCTGGGATTAAAGGCATGAACTCTTTTAGGCTGATTCATTCTCATGTAGCCCTGGGTGGTCTTAAGCTCACAGAGATCCTCAGCCTCTGTATCCTGAGGATTAAGGTACAAACCACTGCCCAGCATCTATGGCTGACTAGTGTGACTGGCTTTGCATTCTGATCTTCAGTGCCTTTATTAGATCATAAACAAGATGTCACCATACCTGTCAGTACTAAAAAATCATAACTTTTGGAACTTCCTGATTTTGGATTTTGAATCATAAATAAATGTTCAGCCCGTGTTATTAAAAGTGCTATTGGGAGGCTCTGTTTTAGAGGACAGATGAAGGAACAAATTCAGATGGAAAGGAGGGCTTATATTTAGGAAAAACAGCACCCAGTAGAGGAAGAGTCCTCAAAAAGAAGACGATATAGGGATTCCCTCCCTGACTCTAGAGTCTGGAATGAAAGAGCCACAGCGAGCCTGGCAGAACTGGCCTTGATGAGCCCAAGGGTAACTGGACAGGAAATACCTGAGGACTCTGTGACGGACTCATCTAGCCTCCTAACTGTGTGTCCACTGTTCACAAATACACAGCTTGTTCATTCTCCACATTATCAGCGCTGCAAGATAAAACCATTACATGTTGCGCTTTCCGTATCACAGTGTCCGGGAACATATAACAAGCTAGCGGTCAAGGGTAATAGCAAAGTTCATGGCCCTAGTGATTCTCTGGAACTTCAGGCTCCTTTTCCTTTCTGTTAACTTCTATGCTATCTCTAGGGATAGCCTAGAAGTCCAGAGATAACCTAGAAGTCACTCCCTAGCTAAATTCTTATACAGTGTCTGTGTCCCGCTTGTCCAAGGAATAAAGCATAAAGCCCTTTGTGCAACCACATATTCTGTGTGTGGCTGATCTGCCTCCCACAGCCTCATTTTTGTTGGCTTCCCCCTGGCATCATATGATGCAGGGATCATCTTGCTGTGCATGCCTTTGTAGGTACCCTCTCAGCCTAGACTGGCTTTCTCCTTTTCTCTTCCTGTGGAACATCTCTTCTAGCCTAGCTTCTTGTATTCTGCAAAATGTTGTCTCCTCTTCGAAAGAGAATCCAGAAACACACCCTCATCTACTGTGCTAATTGCTGTCTGTTTTCATGTTCACTTTCCCTACTAGAAGCCAAGTAGCTGTGGGCACAGATGTATTCAATTCTTTTCTGTTTCTCCAACTCCTATCGCTGTACTTGGTGCAGGTAAGTTCTGTTTGTTTAATTGACCAATCGATAGCCTGGGTCAGCATATCCTGTGTTATTTCAAAGGCCACTCATATCTTTATCAGAAACAATCTGTGAGGTGTAGATATTACCAAGATTTTCAAGATCCAAACCCATATAGACATTGTTCCCTGCCACCCATCTGAAAATTTGAGCCACAGATATTGAGATCTTCACTAATAACAGAGTAGAGATAATGTTACTCACTAGAATTGTGACAACTATTGTCATGGTTAGAATGTTTATTGTTAACTTATTTGTGATCTTCCTTGTTATGACTGTCTTTCTAAGGGATGGCCTTTGTTGCCCTTCCTAACACTTAGCATATAGTAGGCACTGTAGATAGATGATATCTGTGTGTGTCTAAAGTGAGTGTATATCTCCCAAATAGACACCAAGAAATCTATTTTTGTAATCTCCCTCTTCTTCACTTGTGATACAGGCTATGGCTTTCCTAAGTAGGTCACTGAATAACATAGATGTCACAGTGCCATTGGAGGACCATGAAGAGAAACATGGCATGAATGTAGAAGTCAAAGGAAAATTTGCAGGAGTTCATTCTTTCCTTTCACTATGTGAGTCCTGGGGGTAGAATTCTGGGAAGAGAAAAGGGAATCACCGGCCAGATGTCGAGGAAACAAGATGGGTGGTATGGAAATGAACTAACAAGCCTCGTGGAAGAACACAGATTGAAAAATGATGGGTTAATTTAAGGTGTAAGAGCTAGTTAGGGACAAACCCAAGCTAAGGCTGAGCTTTTATAATTAATAATAAGTCTCTGTGTCATTATTTGTGAGCTGGTATTCACAAAAGAAAAAACTGACTACAGTAGTTGGTGACATAATTCAGATTTTTCTCAATGAATTCATCTAATGTCACAAAGTAAAGGTACAAGGCATTTCATTTTGCTTTAATTAGTACCAAAATAAAATGATTCCATTATTAGACTATTAGTGCCAAAAAATGTTAGACTGAGTGAGT